GGAGTCTTGTTCTGTCGCCAGGCTAGAGTGCAGTGGCGCAATCTTGGCTCACTGCAACCTCTACCTCCCAGGTTCAAGTGATTCTCCCGCCTCAGCCTACCGAGTAGCTGGGTCTACAGGCATGTGCCACCATGCCCAGCTAATTTTTTTTTTTTTTTTTTAAAGACGGGGTTTCACCATGTTGGTCAGGCTGGTCTTGAACTCCTGACCTCAGGTGATCTGCCCACCTTGGCCTCCAAAGTGCATGGATTACAGGTGTAAGCCACCACACCCGGGCCCCAGCTAATTTTTGTAATTTTAGTAGAGACGGTGTTTTACCACATTGGCCAGGATGACCTTGTGATCTGCCCGCCTTGGCCTCCCAAAGTGCTGGGATTACAGGCATGAGCCACCGCTCCCGGCCGACCCTGCCTCTATTTTAAAGGAGAAGAAAAAGAAGAAAAAAAGAGCAGACACTGTATATCCTTGGCCCAGATCCTTCCACAGTGCACAGGACCCAGGGCTTGTGTGCAGCTTTCCCATATACTTGGGGATCTCTAGGGATGAACTGGAGGTGAAGAGGCCATGGCCAAGGGCCAAGCTGCCCAGTGGGTAGGAGCTGACTACTGGTTTCCTCATGTGCCCAGTGATGGCAAGGGTCAGAGCTGTCTGCCCGGGAATGAATGGCTCACCTGGCCAAAGGCAGCTCTGGCGTGCTCGAACCCTCCAACCTGTAGCCGCTTCTTGAAGAGGTCCAGGGGATATGTCAGGGTCTTGCTGATGACACCAGCTCCACTGCCACAAAGCAGGTTTTTGAGGTTCTCTGAACCAGAAAAGTGGGGTGGGGAGAACGGATGAGAGAAATGCAGTCTATGAGGCACGACTTGAAAGGTGCCAGGGCTGAGCCCCCACCACAAACCAAACCCAAGGCCAGCACTTCAGCCTGACCTCCGCTGGTCCTCCCATTCCAAAGAGGAATGTAATCTACAGGGAGGAGAGCCACACAGCCACTTCTGGCGGAGTGATCTGGGCTGGATGGGCTGGTGGTGGCAGTCCCCCAGCTGGAGGCAATGTGGGCCTCACTTCTGCAGTGTGACTCAGTTCAGGGCTGGAGAGGGATCAGGATGCCCCACCCCTCCCCAGCCTTCCCCCACCCCCAACCCCCGACTCCCCCTGCCCAGAAAAAGCAACCGAAGAACCTCAACCAAAAAACAAGCAGTTTGCAATTTGGACTTCTGACAAAAATGAAAACCATGACCAGTCACTGGAAGTAAATTTCAGTCATGCCAGTGATAGGTGTGGCAGGAGCTGGAAGAAATCAAGTCCTCTGCAAGAAGTTGCAGTTGTTTTGTTTGCCACATTACAGAGCCGGGCACAGGGACCCGCAGGGTCTTCCCTTCGGACAGGAGAATTTTAGCTCCTTTATGATTTGGATGGAAGGGGGCGTTCTGGCAGCTGGGGTGGTAGGGTTCCCTCTCATGTGAGGGCTGCCTCACCATTTTTCTTTCCTTCGGCTGGCATGGCCCACTCGTACATGTGCTTCAAGGAACTGTAGCAGGAGAACTGCAGCCCGGCGTAGGGGAAGATGGCGATCAAGGTTGGGGTCAAGCCTTTGTAGAAGACCAAGGGGCCCTCGTTCCTATACATGGTCCCCACGGCATGGCGCAGTGTGTTATAAACCTGGACACACACACACGCACCTTGAATGAGCTCAGTGAGGTGGTTTTAGCCCTTGAACAGCCCATCAGAGCTATGTCCCCTTGACTAAAATCTCAGCTACCAGGAGCGTAACTCCTCCTGTGAGAAAGACAGTCAAAGGAAATGCTGGACAGAGATTCAAAGGGTGGCATTTTCCAGAAACTCCCCCTTCTACACATGTATACCACTATTATATCCACAGGTGTGCACAAAAGTATGTGTCCAAGAGTCACTGCAGCATCCTGGGGAAGGGCTAAAGGTTCGATGTCCATCTGTGGGTGATGGTTACATAAATTACGGGACACCAGCTCACAAGAACACAGTGCAGCTGTTCAAATAGGAAGGTGCAGCCGAGCGCAGTGGCTCACACCTGTAATCCCAGAGCTTTGGAGAGGACAAGTTGGGTGGATCACTTGAAGCCAGGAGTTTGAGACCAGCCTGGCCAACATGGTGAAACGCTGTCTCTACTAAAAATACAAAAATTAACTGGGCCTGGTGGCTCATGCCTGTAATCCTAGCTTCTTGGGAGGCTAAGGCACAGGAATTGCTTGAACCTGGGAAGCGGAGGTTGTGGTAAGCTGAGATTGCACCACGGTACTCCAACCTGGGTGACAGCTGGACACTCTGTCTCAAAAACAAAAACAAATAAATAATAAAAATAGAGAGGAGGTCTTGCTATGTTGCCCAGACTGGTCTTGTACTCCTGACCTCAAGTGATCCTCCCTCCTTGGCCTCCCAAAGTGCTGCGATTACAGGCTTGAGCCACCGCATGCAGCCAAGCATGTTACTTAGAATTGTGGAAGGAAATAATCAAAGAAACAGCTCTAAGTATTAAAAATGGTAACCTCTGGGGATTAGAATCAGGAAGCAGCTGATATTTGTTTAAATTATAATTCATGAAGAACTGTCTTTGTAACCTTGATACACCTTATATGTTATAAGACGTTTTATTGTTCAAGGTGAGGTTTACAATGCGGTTGTGGCTAGTCTAAGGCAGGTGGAGAGTTCTGCAGGTTTTAACCAGGTCTCTTCCCCTCAATTTCATGACTACGATATTCTCCGATCATTCTAGACTCTAAAATCCAACATGCCAATAGTTTAAGCTAGAGGTAATATGCTATTGACTTTTTTTTTAGACTGACTCTTGCTCTGTCACAAGGCTGGAGTGCAGTGGCATGAGCTCGGCTCACTGCAACCTCTGCTTCTCAGGTTCAAACGAATCTCCTGCCTCAGCCTCCCAAGTAGCTGGGACTACAAGCACGTGCCACCACACCTGGCTAATTTTTATATTTTTAGCAGAGACACGGTTTCACCATGTTGTCCAGGATGGTCTGGATCTCTTGACCTTGCTATGTTGCCTACACACACGCACTGAATGAGCTCAGTGAGGTGGTTTTAGCCCTGGAACAGCCCATCAGAGCTATGTCCCCTCGCCTAAAAACCCAGCTACCAGGAGCGAAACTCCTCCTGCGAGAATGACAGTCAAAAGAAACACTGGACAGAGATTCAAAGGGTGGCATTTTCCAGAAACTCCCCCTTCTACACATGTATACTGCTGTTATATCCACAGATGTGTGGAGTGATCCGGGGACGGGCTGGTCCAGCCTCCCAAAGTATTAGGATTACAGGCATGCGCCACCATGCCCGGCCCCTAGTTGCTTAAATCTGGGAGCCAGAGGTCGAAGTGAGCTGAGATTTCACCACTGCACTCTAGCCTGGGTGACAGAGCAAGACTCCGTCTCAAACAAACAAAAACCCAAAAAACAACCAGAAGTTCAAGACCAGCCTGAACTTGAGTAACATAACGAGACCTTGCCCCTACAAAAATTAAAAAAAAAAAAATTAGGTATGGTGGCACATGCCTGTGGTCTTAGCTACTGGAGAGGTTGAGGCAGGAAGATTGCTTGAGCTTAGGAGTTCAAAGCTATAGTGAGCTATAGTAGCCACTGTACTCCAGCCTGGGTGACAAGACCCTGTCTCAAAAAATATATATAAATAATAACAGTGGGGTGCGGTGGCTCACACCTGTAATCCCAGCATTTTGGGAGGCCAAGGCGGGTGGATCACGAGGTCAGGAGTTCAAGACCAGCCTGACCACCATGGTAAAACCCCGTCTCTACTAAAAATACACAAAAAATTAGCCAGGCGTGGTGGTGTGCGCCTGTAATCCCAACTACTCAGGAGGCTGAGGCAGAAGAATTGCTTGAACCCAAGAGATGGAGGTTGCAATGAGCTGAGATTGCGCCACTGCACTCCAGCCTTGGCAACAGAGCAAGACTCTGTCTCAAAAAAATAATAACAACAATAAAATTATTCTTTCTTGGTTGAGGACACACACACACACACACACACACACACACACACACACACACACACACAATGCTATTCTAATATGTCCAGGAAACAGAGATTATGATGGGAAAGTCTACTATCCCATTTCCGCCACCCCATTCTTTGTGGAAACCAAAGATACTCTGGCATTTGGCTGGGTGCAGTGGCTCACACCAGTAATCCCAGCACTTTGGGAGGCCAAGGCGGGTGGATCACCTGAGATCAAGAGTTCGTGACCAGCCTTGGCAACATGGTGATACCCCATCTCTATTAAAAATATAAAAATAAGCTGGGTACGGTGGCACATGCCTATAATCCCAGCTACTCAGAGGGCTGAGGGAGGAGAATCACTTGAACCCAGGAGGCACAGGTTGCAGTGAGCTGAGATTGCGCCACTACACTCTAGCCTGGGCAACAAAGTGAGACTCTGTTTCAAACAAACAACAAACGAAAAACCAAAGACGCTCTCATAATACTCCAGCAATAAGTTCTTGGGTGTCACTTTCCCAGATGCAGTCCTTGATCTAGCCCACTGCTGGGTATTCATTTGTTCTGTTTCACACTGGTAGGTTGTGTCTCCCCAGGGAGGCTGTGAGCTCTTTCGAGGCAGAGACACAGCGCACCCTGCACAGTACTGCCCACAGTCATGGGTTTTATAGACTGACTGCCACAAACTGAAAACCCAAACCTCTCCCAGCTTTGTCTTCTGCAAGGACAAGAACTCATCCTTTACCGAGTGCGGTGGCTCACGCTTGTATCCCAGCATTTTGGGAGGCTGAGGTGGGCAGACTGCTTGAGCTCAAGAGTTTGAGACCAGTCTGGGCAACATGTTGAAACCCTGTCTCTAAAAAAATACAAAACTTAGACAGATTTAGTCTCAGTTACTGGGGAGGCTGA